AATATATATATATATAGTATATATATATATATATATATATATATATATATATATATATATATATATATATATAATATAATATATATATATATATATATATATATATATATATAGGTATATGTAGAAAATATATATAGTAAGTAGTATATATAGTATATGTAGAAAGAAATATAGTATATATAGAAAGAAACGCTTAGCATATAAGAAAGGATGATATCAAAATCATATTGACAAGCACTTTACTTTGTACCATTTACTTAACTTTATAAAATTATTTTCATGTAATAAGCGAAAATTTTGTCATCTACATTGTTTTGTGATCAGTGCAACTTTTTAATATTTTTTATATTTAAAAAAATATAAGCATTGTAAAGAAATTTTAAAATTTTAGTTTTATTTATTGTGTAAACACTTGTCAGGCATATTAATTATTTTTTGTCATTAATTATGAAAATATTCGATAATTGAAAATATCTCAAATATTTCAATTATATAATACAAATTATTTAAAGTCAATTTTAATTCAACGACTTTTAATAGTCTCGGCTTATGAAATCATTTATATTTAGTTACATTTTTAATACAATATATATTTTAAGAACTTAAATATATTATTATTATATAAATGTATCCAAAAAAAGGATTATTTAAAAGATTACTTATGAATTCAAGAATGGGTCATAATCACAGAATTTTTTATTAAGCACTATAAAGTATTTCATATTGTCAATTAAGGATATAAAGAATTAATAAATTGACGTAGATATGAGAAAAAGCAATTAATTAACAAGCATGAACATTTGCCAGGTCAAAAACATCATTGAATCCGATCATTCTTTTGCTGGAGAGAAAACCGGAAATCGCGTTTCTCGACGCAGTGTCCTACTTTCCATTGGTCTACTGGATGCGCGGCTCTATTGACTGCTTAGATGATCTTCTCCGAGCTGGTATTACTTTAGCAGAAAATGTCGTTGTCGTAAACAAGGAACTCAACAATTCTGCAGAGGAGGACACCTTAGCTGATTGCAACACGATCGTTGCGGTACAAACTATGTTCAAGTGAGTCTATACTTTCAACGGAAATTATCTAATAAGAAATGTAGCATAAGTACAGCAGCAAACTCCAAGCGCAAAAAATATTCGTAATGTTATTTAGCATACATAGTACTATCTTTTATGCTGTACTTGTGCTACATTTCTTATACATGTGCTACATTTCATATATACAAATATAGTTTTAATATGTGATTTAATCTCTAAATATATAGTTTATTTTTAATATCTAGTTATTATTATAATTATAAAGATATGAAATAATATGTACAATATAAAATTACAAAAATTTGATAAAAGTTACTACTAGAAAGAAAATAAAAATTAAAATATATTATTCGTAATAATAATAAAAGTAAGGAGTGAAAAAATCGATAAAATAAAATTATATATTACATGTTTTTGTAAAATTATTTTTTTATTATTTCTTTGATAGATTCTTCCCAAGTATAAAGAGCATAACAGAATTGTCTCAGTCCAGCAATATGCGATTTATGCAGTTTCGGGCACACGACAAGTACGCTTTGCATCTCAGCAAAATGGAAAAGGTACTCAGTGCTACTACCGATGACAACTACTCTGATGAGCCTTCGATGGGCTCCCCGGTAACACGATATCACTCATTCTCCAACCTCTGATTGATAATGGATTGACTGACTGTTGAATTAATTGATCGATTGACTGCCAAACATTTCAATGTTGTCGTCGCTCTCGTATCATCTTATTAATATTCTTAACATATTCGATCTAGTCCGAAAATCTACTATATCAATTACAAAATTAATATTTTTGTCCAACGTTTATGCAAATTTAATAATCTATCAATAGAAGAGAAACTACACCTTCGCGGCTTGAATTTATAAAGCTATTTCGTCCTACTTCGTTGTTTTCCGGCGTAGCTTTTATACAAATCTAATTTTGGTGGATGCAGCGTTCGAGATTGCGGTAAACTTAAAAGGACGCTTTCCGAGATTTGCGATCGCTGGCCCTGTAAAGCCACGTCGTTGGAAGCGGGAAGGAATTACGAGAGTAAAGTCGCTCCGCGCGGAAATCACTTTGCTCTAAGTGCTGCTTTCCGCATGCACTCTCGCGCCGCTTGTCAACTTTACCAACGCCATCATATCTTTACTTTACTTTTGGTCTGCGATATTGTTCTACAGGGAAGAACCGAGATAGAATTTTTTTAACGGAATTGGGATAATTGGGATATAGAATTTTAACAAAAGAATGAGAATAAAACGTAACACATAATTACATAATAGCTAATGTCTTATGTTGTTACTAAACTTCTTTAAATTAGTTATTATATCAATATTATTTCACAGGAGTCTTTCAAACAAAGTAGATTACTGGAAGAAATGTCTTATATTTTTTAATTATTATACGAATCAATTATAAACTGATCATACAATAATGAGTTAGTAAAAATGAATAAAGCATGTTTAGTTGGTGTATTTTAAAACACACACACACAACACATGCATACGCACATATGCACACGCACACACATGTACACATATAGAATAGAAGTATTTATATGTAGTAAGTTTTAAATATTTAAAGATGAAAATTTTTTACTATAATTTTTTTTGTTAAAATATTTTACGAGAGCGATAAGAACATAGAAAATATTGACAATTTTATAGACAACGTTTTATAAGTAGTTGCTTTTGAATCTATATTATCGATGCATCACAATTAATTGATTACATTTATATGTATATATTATTGTCTCATTGGACTTAATATATTAATAGTTATTCTTATATATTATTACCTAGAACTTTTTAATTTTAAATTGAATGTTATAGCATAATGACTCATGCCTTGAAATAGATGCTTAATAGATTAGAATTTTTCCAAGCTTTTTTGCAAATATATATAATATATATTTTTTTTACATTATTTAAGCATGACACATTCCGTTAATTTGTATTACCCGGCAATTATCCGATACTTTTATAAACTCTATAGAATTTTCGAATGTTATATAAGATGTAATACGCAAATTCAATCAGAAATTATATTTTAATATTATCAATAAATTTGTTTCTTGTGTACGACATTGCTACCAATAGAGGGATAAATTATTGACTATACATAATTTATGGTTTAAAACTATATTATTAGGATAATTAATTATGTAATCTGGTCATAAGGAGAAGTTTAATTAATGTAATTTTATATTTGCTTGTTAAAACAATTAATACATTACATGACAGTACCTATTTTAATTTCGTGTTACAGAACACCGTTAGATTAATTATATTATATTAATTAATATAAATTTTCTTTACTTTTCGAATATCAGTTTTGCCAATTGAAATTTTTATATTAAATACAAGAAATTTTTCGTTTTTTCGCAGCTCTCATGTTATCCCATATATCATTACGCAGTAATAGCTATTTTTAATTTTCTAATCTTTATTCTTTTCTACGGAGAAAAAATAAAATCACTCATGTCACATCGTTCTCATATTAAACTGCATGATGCGACATACGCGCGTGTATATGGATGATCAAATATTTATAATACTTAAAATATTTAATATTATTTAAATTAGAAAAATATTGAAATGAATTTATTATCAATTTTTAAATCAAGATTAACTGGAATTATTAAGGAAGAGGAAATGGAAAAATTATATCTGCTCACTATCATACAAATAAAGTACATACACACATTTCATATATTTGTAATATATCATATATCGCGTTGAATAGATTTGTATCATATAGATTTGTTATCTGATCAGAGTTTCATGACATTTGTGTTATAGATTGCTAGATGATTAATATCGATTAAGCAAATATTTTATAAAATATTGCTTTATTTTATGTAATAATGTATTTTTAATATTTTCTTTACTTGTGATAACAATATATAACGTTTGAATTACAAATGCTTGCGTTTATTTGTTAAAATAATTAATGGAATATTTAAAAGTTGATATTGTCATTCCATGCTTGATTGAAAATGTTGATTTGTATTTAAACGAAAAAGGAAATATATTTGCATACATTGTCGGAAAATGTATGAGAGTTTGCAACAAATTTTAGATTTACGCAATAGCTGGCAATATTATTTATAAATAAACAAAATTGGCAATTGATAATGTTTGCAGAGGGAAAAAGAAAGAGGATCTCACATATCGTACATGTTTCGATTGCCATTTGCCGCCGGCAGTGTCTTCAGCGCCTCGATGTTAGATACTTTACTTTATCAAGCATTTGTCAAGGATTACGTGATAACATTTGTAAGACTGTTACTGGGAGTAGATCAAGCACCAGGATCTGGATTTCTTACATCGGTGAGCTATCGTTTAAAATATATGTTGTTAATAATCTAAAATTTACAACTATGACAATTTTTTATTTCTTTATTTTAATTTTTTATATCAGTTAATTCTTTTAGTAATATAAATATAGTTAATATAAATCTAATACGTATTATATTGATTATTATAAGAATTATTATACAATATTCATTTTTATTGTTTATTGAGTTATTTTTAGCATATACAAGGTGTCCGGCATCGGTCATATCACCTCTCGTGTGCAGGTAGAGCTGGTAAGACTAGAAAAGTCCTGTGTCATTTTGCAATTTTCGCGATAATTATCGAGTTATTAATTATTAAAAATAAGGTAATTGTTTTCTTCAATATATTAGTTATAACTATTACCGCTTGAAGTAATTCTTCATGCGCCTATCAACGATGATCGGGTGGGAGTATCTTACCGCGCGCTTGCATTTGCCGGTGGGCCGAGCTAATACATTCAAGAATTAATAACTCGATAATTATTGCGAAAATTACAAAATGGTAGAGGACTTTTCTACTCAGTTTTACCAGCTCTACTTGCACACGAGAGGTGATATAACCGATGCCGGACACCCTGTATATCTGGAAATAAATTTGTCTCCTCTTTCTCTTTCTATATTCTCTAAAGTTATCTAATATATGATAAATAAAGAAAATTCAGTGGCAATATTATTCTATCGGAAGATTTAAAAATTGATTCAGTATATTTTTTTATGTAAAGATAAACCAAAATATAACAAATAACTAGCCAGAAATCCAATTCCTAACTGTGTTTTTTAGTTTCATTTCTATCCCAATTATTATACAAAATTATTATACAAAATTGTATTATATTTTATTATTAATATCAAATAACGCTACCAAACTGTTACAGATGCGTATAACGAAGGATGACATGTGGATAAGGACATACGGTAGATTGTATCAAAAACTTTGTTCGACCACTTGCGAGATTCCAATCGGAATATACAGAACGCAGGACACTACCGTATCTGACTCCTCACACGTAAGTCAATTATACATTTTTTATCTAGGAAGAAATATAGTCGAAGTAGAGTTTGAGTTGTTACTTGTACTCTCTATAAAAACAGGAAAATACTTTGAGTGACGGCTGTGAGTAGCGCATGGTTGTGCTCTCGCTCCTTCTTTTGATTTCGTTTCCTGTCTCATTTCTTCTCGTGGTATTTCTCCTGCCGCGCATAAGTAACGAGCCGGGATCGTTGCATCTTGATGAACTAACTTTCATAGCACGTTATCTCCCCAACTTCATTGATCTTTGCGTCTTGAATTTGCATCATGCTAGATTTAGTGTGCTCGATTGCGACGCAGCGCTTTCGTTAATAACTTTAATCTCCGGTATGTAAAGTATAGTGGCAAAATAGATTTGTAAAAGTATTTTTTTAGATTTTCAAAATATGATTGGAGATATATAAATCGTAGCTTATAGGTCTTTATAGGAAAAATTTTAAAATTTTTTTTTATAAAAACAAAGACTTGATGTTATAGTTAAAAGCATAGGTCGTTCTGACAAATATAATAATGACAAAGCGCTTACTCTCGAGTGCTAGTATCCTCAGCGAGAAGCACTTACTCCGATGGAAGAAGTCGAGCGAGCGATCTAATCGTTACATCGAGCCACAGCAGCGTGCTGTACTCGGACGCGAAATACGGCGCGACATTGTGCAAAACCGCGGTATTGGCGGTGCGCTATCATTAATAAGGGTAGAATTGCTTGTCGTTTTTAACAGGGCGACTCAGACGCGGAAAGCGACGCCGGCGTCGGTGTGACGTACAAGGTGCGTCATTCGGCGGCAGCTTCGTGCCTCGCAAATTGCGCCACCCGCGACAAGGGTGCATCTGCTGTGAGTAAAACGTCGACGTGGTGGCTGTTCCTTCCTTCCGGCCGTTTTATACTACTTCTGTCTTACTCTCCTCATACTCTCGCCTCTCTCACTGTCGCTCTGCCTCTTCGTACCTTTGTCTGTCTCTCTCTCTCTTTCTTTTCTTCTTTTTCTCTTTCACACTCTATCTGATGGACGTCCAGACTCGTCTGCCGCAGCACAGCAGCGCATGTGAAACTTCGTATCGTTGCATCCTTCAGACCGATTACACTTATATATATATCAAGAATTTTTGTCTTCGTGGAATTGAAGACATCTTTATCTATCGTTTAGATTTTAAGCTTAATCGATTGTGACGTTCAGCCGATATCGAAAAGGTGGCTGTAACAATCGAGCAATAACAATTATTTTAATATTATAAAAGTCGCACGCGTTAAGACCACTTGTTGCATGTGATGTATAATATATAAGATAAATATGCACATCAACAATATCTAACCAATTAACTTTATTGCATTTGATGATTTATACATGAATGATTGATCGGTTTATCAAAAAATTTATAAACATTTATAATAAGCAATAATCAAATTATGACAAGACCGCGTCAGAAAGCGTTACAATTTGAAAAATTTTTTATTTGTATTGCCTTGATATCCTACAAACTGCAATTCTTTACTTTATCCCGCACTTTATAAAACACATTATTTCAAGTGCATGATGCTGATATCACTACTTCGATACATTATGAAGATATAAGGTGAAATAACTGATAATATTCAACGTTATTTAGGCCACCTCATTGATATTATCGATCGTCACAGCAGACTGATCCGTCTTAGTAAGCACAGATGTATGCTAATACTTTATCGTCTTTTTCATATCACCATCCAGTATTCGGTGAGTCTTGGCGACGAGGCGCGCGACAACCACGCACAGCAGATCGAACGAGCGGAAATTGCGAATCTGGTGCGCTCGCGGATGGAATCTCTGAATCTGCCAGTCGCCGATTACGATGACGTTTCGGAGAAGCGTAATAGCCTGTCATACGTGATTATCAACCCGAGCTGCGATCTAAAACTCGAGGAGGGCGACATTGTCTACCTAGTACGACCCAGCCCGTTCTCCGCGCAGAAGACCTTTGAGCGGCACAACTCCCGGCGCAAGAGCAACATCAGCTTCTGCTCGGCACAATTGGTATCCCAGATGAGCGCGGCGGTCGCGGCTGCGGGCCTGCAGACCGGCGGTCCGGGTAGTCGTCGCGGCTCCACCATAGGTTTGGCCAGAGCGCCGCCCTTGGGAACAACTAAATCAAATTCATTGTCTCTACCCGATAGTCCCACCGTAGCTGGCACTCTGCGCGGTCGCTCAAATTCACTGAGGGTGGTCGATGATATTCTATTGCGACGCAGTAATTCCTTAAGGCAAGGCCTGACGATGACGACCAGAAGAAAGAGCAGTCTGGAGGACATCGGTTTGGGAGCGTTTTCGCACTCCTCTAATCACAATCCGATTAAGATCGCTTTGAACGGATCGATCGGTCTGGAGGTGACACCGCCGGAGGAGGGTTCGCAGGCTGGCGGTGCCAGCAACACTGGTATCCTCGACGTGGGTCTACCCTCCATGCCGGAATTCAATGCAACTTTAGGACCGAGTTCTCTCGGCGCAGGCCTCGGCGGCTCCTTAGGTGGTCTCTACGATCCACCCTCTCTTCAATGCCCGATGGGCTCGCCCTGCCAATCGCCGCAAATACAGGGTACCGCGCAAGATCCGCAGCACATACAGGGGACAATAGTATGATATAACCTTATGTGGGGACGCAGGCTCTCCGGCGTGGCACGAAACAAGTGGCTGTAGCGTTCCCACATGGTATTTAGGGATAGGCGTCATCAAGAACGACATCTTTACAGCAATTGTAACGATAGAGGATATTTGAGCAGCGTTTTCGTGGGACTGACCAAGCCGGATGAGACGGCTGGAGAGCAAGGTGTTTCGGTGAAACTAACTACGTCAAACTAATGATTGTTGCAAATGTCAGAGGACCTATTTTGCAATAGGTAAAATAAGTTGGGGCACGATTACCATTGCAACTTTTATTTAGTTCTGACTTCGAATTGATTTTTGCACCATAATTCTAATAATTTCTAATAAAGATATGTAGACAAAATTTTATTGCGGATAACAACTCGCGATAATTCAATTACAATTTGTCACAGATATTCATTATTAATTTATAGAAAATAAATCTCTATCAAATAATTTTATTAATTATTAAAATTAAATTTGTTAAATTTTTTATTTTAAATTTGATGTTAATATAGTTAAATTACTTCCATCCCAGTTTATAGTTGTATTGTCTCTTTCGTTTTAAAACGGCGCGATTTATAATAATTCGTGGATCTACCAAGCGCAGATATACCAAATCGTAACTGTGATATGTCATTGAAGAATATGCTTTCTATTTATAAAAAGTCTCGTTGAAGATTTCAATATTACTACGATTATAGATAAAAATCGCGTCGGGTATGAGTTAAAAAGTAATATGCACTTTAGAGGATGATGTAATTGTGTTATGAACTTCATATTTCGGTGTATCTTATTTTTATAATTCGTATCTGTATCAGTACGTACGTTCTTAAAACGTTTTGCTCTCTAGGTCGCCTCTAGCGTACCGACGTCCGTGTCTACGACTTCATTCATCGGACAGTAGATCGTATAAAATTAATGCAAAACAGCACTTAAAAGAGTGCTTCGCGAGCATGACGAGCAAATATTTCGAATCAGTTGCGATTTGAGTATTTAATATAAATGATCGCAAGTCAATAGCATTTTCTAGATTATGAAATCAGTTATAGAAATTTGATAGATTCTTTAAATTGAAAATGGAATAAAAATCTTTAAAGATCTTATAAAGATTTTTTGACAATTTTTTCTTAGTCAAGAGAAAAAGATTAAATTTTTTAATTAGAAATTAAATTTTTATTTATAGTTTTATCTATAAGTTATATTATTTATAATTAATAATTTTTAATTAAAATCTCGATTGATTCATAATAAATGCTAATCTGTCGTCATTTCATACATTCTCGAGATACAAAATGAGAAATGTTCTATAACGTACTCTTCGATTCTTATTTAGCGTCGCGCTCAGCGGTCGAGCGTGAATAATTTTATAATAGAGAACATTTGTGGTGAGAAAGAGTCTATTATATATATTATAGAGATACAATGTATGACCATTTAATCATATCATGCGAGAATGCCGCGGAAGTCATCATTATATCCTACGTAAATAGGAAGAAGAGTATTTTAGAGTGATTTAAGTGCTTAGAACATGCGCGTATATTATCATGACTTTTCGCGTGACTAATAAATCGTCAATGAATTTAATGTCGAATCGCAGGACGATTGTCGACCTTCGTGACGACGCCAAGATTTACGGCTGAAATGATACTTAACTACTCAAATCGATATAGACAAGAATCGTGAAAATTACATAATAGACAAGAATTGATTACAAATCAATTGCATGAAAATTATTAATACTATCTTCTTCTTCTTCTACTTCGTTTACTCTTGTATTAGTTCAGCCTCAATCCGTATTTTGTGAGTATATCAGGATCAGTTATGGTTAGCGAGTGAATGCGATTGTTCTTGCTTGATAATTCAATAATCCATTCAATCCATTAGTTAATCAAATTTGAATAAGTCGTTATTAACGTCTCAAGTTGCACCGACTGGGTTATAATTACCTAACTGTGGATGATGTTTTTTTTTTGAAGGCTTTTTTAGATTGCCGTTTCGTATATTGTGTGATGATGTCGCTAGGACAAAATACCGAATTATAAAAGATATTTGAAAAATTAAAAAAAAAATAAAACAACTGAAAGATTCATGATAAAATAGGCTAAAATGGGCAAAAAAATATGAGTATACAGTTAGCCAGATTGGTGCAACCGGCTACAATAGACTTTAATCTTTTTAACGTGGCGCCGTACTCGTGACGCTCACAGCCAAATGTAATCGTTCGTTGACCAATTTACACGTTTCTTCGACCAAACGAGTCATATTATCAAGTACCTACTTCAATATTGTTTTCATTAAATCCAGTCAATTCTGCGACCAGTTTTTTTTAAACACGCGACCAGAAATCTATTCCATCTATTCCATGAAAATTTTATAATATTTTATGTTATTTTTATTAATTTTAGCATTTTCTTTATATTTTATCAAGAAGCATTAATGTTTATAATGCAAACGATAGCATATCGATAAAACGAAAAAAATGCTAATTTAATATTATAATTTTATCGTTGAAATATTTGATTATTATGTAACTTTTATAATTAATTAATTAATCTATGGCGTTAATCATAAAGTAAAGTATTTTTTATTATTTTTGTAACACATAATTTATACAGATTAAAAAATTGTACTATATAGTAACTGATAATTTATATCAATTAAAATTTAAAAGTTTAATTTATAAGTTAAACATTTTTATGAACGCAAAGCATAAAATAAAAAGTTGCTTCATGGAATAGATCAAACATTCTAACATCAAAGTAAATACGATAATTCTTCTGAGAAACCACAAAACCACAAAATGAGGCATGAAACAGATCTTAAATGCGCTTTGTACAAATCAAAATGTAAAATAAGTACGTGTCATGTCTTTTTCTCTTCAAACTCGCTCTGCAATCGATTAAGAATATCAGAATTATATGTTAAATTATTGCATTTTCATCATATCTTGCTATTTGATCGAAGCAAAATTGATCATTTTCAATATCTGGTCGCACATTTAACTCTTAAATCAAATTATTTTCTCTCACTCTGTACCGCTCTTTTCTTTTCGTTTAGCTCTCTATCTTTTTTTCTTCGATTAGCATGATCCTTATCAGCAAACTGTAAACTTTTATACGTAAATAATATGTGAGTGAATTATCTTTCAGAGAAAGATAATAAAGAATTTTTTATGTAATAATTACAGAACAGATTTCTGCATTCCAAACACATGAAAAATACGATAAATGCGATTGAGCTTGTCTCAAACAATAATCGATTTAGGAAAGCTCGACAATTTTATAAATATAATTTTATCGAAGAATATCTACTGAGAAGAACAGACAGAGAGAGAGAAGGCTATCTAACAGTCAAATTATCGTTTTAACGAAAACAATAAGAAGTAATTTATTTTATTGCAATTAAGAATTCATTGTTCAAATTGTCATCTGAATCTTTTTTCCTTATTTTTAAGGGAAGGTTCCACTAAAGATGAAAATATTCTGTTTTTAGACAGCACAATATATTGTGGAACCTAAACTTTTTTATTTATTTAAAAAAAGCATTAATGAAAAGATTATAAAAATTGCAGAAATGAATTTATTGAACGGATCGCCTCACGATATTATCAAAAGAAACGATTAAAATAGTTATTCGGAAAGGGTATACATTTACAATTAATTATAGGATCAGCCCAATATGATGTGACCTGACTCTTTGTAGCTGAACTTAATAATCCATAGAGTATCACATTACAATTTAAAGCAGCAAAGTCTTGGCATTCGCTACATACTTGCTACTCTCGAAGAAGATCGTTTGAATTACGTTTCGAATGAGGGCACGATTGATTCTTTGCATCTTCTTACAATATGCAAGAATTGAATTTATACATACAATTCTTGCATTATGTAGGATAAGTACAATAATTTATCATGTATACGACATGTATTTGACTTTTTGAAAAACAGAATATTAAATTTGATTTGACTATTCGAAATATGTATATTTATTACATTTTAATTAAAAGATATAAAAAAATCCGCAAGAAGAATGGAAAAGACAAGGTATATCTAAAATAAAATTGGTAGCATCAGTGATTAATTAATCAGTAACTTTATTTTTTGTTAAAGAAATAAATTATTTATATTTCTTTTCCCGTAGCAAAATTTCATGAAAGTTATCAATGATACATAATATGCATCAGTATTTATGTTTATAATTTTTCTCGTTTAATATAAATACTAATCCTAATATATCCGAATTTATAAACGAACTTCGTTCTTTATAAATTCTTCTTTCTTTCTCATTAGTGTTTGATGTTTTATAATAATTTTATTTATATTTGAAATTTAAGTATCCTAATGATATATAGAAATTATTTCACATTCGTAATGTAAAACTTGACAAGCACTACCTTTTTTAACATTTATAAAATCATTTGTCAAAGTTCTTATGTCTTTGTAACGCAAAAATAATAGTCATTGAGTGTTTATAAGTTTCTTGAAAATTTTCATAAACAATTAACTCATTGTAAAAGTAGTATTTATACTAAACTGGTTCTTCTAATTTTAATATATCTCTCACGAGTATACCAGATTAAATCGTATTTTCTTCTATATTTAGTGCAATAATTAGACTGATTAGTGCAACAATTATATTGATCTGACTTTAAGTTTTTCTTATTTAACATCTATATTGCTTTTAATGTTAATACAAAATGAGAATCAGATAGTTACTAATCAATTAGATATATTAATAATCAATATATAAGATGAAAATGCGGATCATATATTCTTTTATTTCATGATTTTAATGTCTGTTTAATATGATGTTCTTATCAATATACCAAATTTATACCAAATATTTAATACAATGTATTTTCTTAGTCTTAAAGATATGTTTGAAATTAATCATGTTCGCAAAATGAAATGAAGATAAATATTTTTATTTTGAAGAAATGATTAAATTTTATATATTTCCAATAGTATTCACTTCTTCACGTATGTTAATTATAATTCCTCACCATAATTTGCTGATTAGAAGCATCAGTGATCAGAAAGCAAGAATTTATTTTTCGTTTTGAAGAAAATTGCATGTATTTTCTCGTTGATGCACTGGATATCACACAAGTTCCTTCGAAAATCTGAACAGAGCTAAGAGCTTGGTGCATCTCGAATGAACCGTTTTTAAAGGTCGTGAATCTACATGAAAAGTGTCCAGCAAGTTCTTAAAATTTAATAATTAAGCATTTCTTGACCACAAAATACAATTGTAAACGGCTGTACGTAAAATAATAAAAGCAGAAAACACAGAGAGAGAGAGAGAGAGAGAGAGAGAGAGAGAGAGAGAGAGAGAAGA